CATTTGGGCCCCTCGTGTCATCAGGCTTTTGTTTCCGCATATTAGGGAAGAAGGGGGCAGTTTGGCGCGAGCAAAAAGTCGGGGGTTGCCCAGGAGGCAGCGGGTCGCAGCGTGTCGTGGAGGCAAACGGCCCGGGTAAAGCACCAGCCCACTGCGCCTACCACACGGCAGTAGTGGTGCGGTGTGCCGGAGGAAAAGTAGGTAGCCAGTGGGGGGAGTAGCGGGGGCAAAGTTTCCTACTCGCGGTGTGGCAATTTTTCGTCAACCCGCCCGGAAGTAAACGTAGCCTTTTGTGACTTGTGGCCAGAAAGTCAAGGGGCCAGGGGGCCCATGGGGGGATACAGCGTTGGGCAGCTATGCAGCGTCCCCATTTGGTGGCCTGGGAAAAACCGTGATAAAAGATACGGAGGGTTCTGCTACTGACCCGGCCCCCGATCCATCACCCGCTCCGATAATTGGCCTCCGTCAACCCCGACGTCAATCGCCATCCCTCTATCTGCAGCAGTCAAGGCTCCAACACCTCTGCGCTTGGGGGAGTTGTCGCTCGTTGGCATCTTCGCTCGTTCAGATGCTCCTTCTCCTGCTACTCCTCTTCACGGATTCCGGTCAGCAGTCTTTATGGAATCCTGTTTCCAAGAGGACAACTGTTTGCGAGCACGCACCCAATCGGTTGCAGCGCCGACGTGTGGAGCTGTAACTACGGTCAGGGACAGTACATGTCATTTACGCACCACTGGGGTGAACGTGGTGCCGGCACAGCCGCACCAGCAACTTGGACAGGTCACGCGATTTTGCTCCACGTTTGCACGTCCTTGGTCCACCCAAAAGATGTCCGCCTCTACCACCTTTCTTCCGCCGTGTCCTCAGCCGCCACCCCGTGCCAAGTCCCATTACCGACCGGCATATCTCATGTGCTGGGCGCAACGGTGTCACGCTGTGCTGCACATGGTATGCCTTGGCGAAGTAGTCACAAGGGGAGGAAACTTTCTCAGTGTTAATGAACAGAGAAATCGACAGATGGCTGTCTCCGCGCAAACTGAAAATCGGAACCATGTTGACCGACAACGGAAAGAACATGGTGTCTGCTCTGCGGTCAAGGAATGGTCTTGTGCCATGCGCCATGCATGGCTCACGTGTTCAATCTGGTTGTCCAAGCGGGTTCCTAAAATCACCATCCCACTGCAAGACATCCTTAAAATGTTCACGTAAACTTTGCATGCATTTCAGCCATTCCTACACCGCAATGCACACCTCCTGAGCTGCAGCGGCAGAACGGAATTGCACAGCATCCCCTGATCTGCGACGTTTGCTTGCAACAAGGTGGAATTCAACCCCCTACCACATGTTAGACCGCCTTTACGAACAGCGAATGTTAAGGCCATCACCGATTTCTGATGTTACAGCGGATAAAGGTACTCCCTGTGTAACTTTGATGTCAGCCATTGGCCAGCTCATGCGTGACACCTGCCGCTTGCTCAGGGCCCTTTGAGGAGGCCACGCTATTCGTGTAGTCGGCAGGACTATGGGTGATATGAACGACTGTCATTCCTCTGTTGCACGTCCTGGATACAAATGCTGTTAACAATGGCTGGTCAGGGTGCGGTAGACGTGGCGCAGATCTCAACGCCACATGACCCTGTGGGGCAGGACAGGAAGAAGAGGAGGAAGGTAGAGGAGGACATTTGTGCTCAGGAATTAAATAATAAGGGATCCTCCTGCGCTCATGGGAATAGTTGACAAAATACAGCTGCTGTCACTTAGCTGATACCAATAAGTGCAAAAATAAAAAAAAATTAGTGAAGCGCTGTATCACATGAATACAATCATGTATCTCCATATAGTGTAATTATAAATCAAGTGACCACTATATATAATAAATGTGTGTTGACTCCCTCTAGTGAAAAGAAAAAAATAGTGTCAACCAAAATAGCTAAATAACACACATTAGGAAACTAAATTAATAGTTGCATAAATCAAATATAATGAACAGAATATATATATACGTGGAAAACAGATATTGGCCAATACAATGGTGTCTAAATTATACATAAATGATATATGCATAGGTGAACAAGACAATATCAAAGGTGAAAAAATAATTCCATGCTGTGACTGTGCTTTAAGCTGGGAACACACACCGTGATCTCCACTTCTAAGTGCAAAGTTACTTCTCCTTCTAATGCAGCAATGCCTGCTCACCTCCCTTCCTCGACCCACACAGGGCCTCAAAGCAGTTACCACCTCAGTGGTGTATTCCTCTGGCAGACTCCTTATTCTCTCCTCCTCTCTTATGCAACTCCCTTCCATCGACCCAAAGACAGGGCCTCAAAGCAGTTACCACCTCCAGTGGTGTATTCCTCTGGCAGACTCCTTATTCCTCCTCCTCTCTTATGCAATGCCCATAAAAATGACAAGAAAGCCTTCCTGAGTGTAGTAAAATTTAAATAGGCAAAGTTAAAAATTTACAAAGTTTTTCCACTCACATGCTCCTTTCCATAAAAAAAGCGTTTTTCCCAGCCTGTGGGTAGATATGCATGCACCTGGGGAATCCAATATGGCCACTGTGTCCCGGACATACGTCACAGGAAGTAGACAAACCGACGCGTAGCGTCACGTGCGGGTCGTCACGTTGCCCTAGTAGTCAAGGGATTGAAGTCACGACGCACGTGACGCTACGCGTCGGATTTGTCTACTTCCTGGTGACGCGTATGTCCGGACACAGTGGCCATATTGGATTCCCCCAGGTGCATGCATATCTACCCACAGGCTGGGAAAAACGCTTTTTTATGGAAAGGGAGCATGGTGAGTGGAAAACTTTGTAATTTTTAACTTTTGCCTATTAAATTTACTACACTATGGAAGGCTTTCTTGTCTTTTTATGAGTTGCATAAGGTGAGGAGGAGGAATAAGGAGTCTGCCAGAGGAATACACCACTGAGGTGGTAAACTGCTTTGAGGCCCTAGTACTTTTATGTTTGGGGGTTGCAAGTGTGGGTCGAGGAAGGGAGTTGCTTAAGAGAGGAGGAGGAATAAGGAGAGTCTGCCAGCAGGAATACACCACTGACCTTAGGTGGTAACTGCTTTGAGGCCCTGTGTGGGTCGAGGTCACAAGGGAGGTGAGCAGGCATTGCTGCCATTTGAAGGAGAGTACTTGCACTTAGAAGTGGAGATCACGTGTGTGTTCCAGCTTAAAGCACAGTCACATGCATGGAATATTTTTTTCACCTTTGATATTGTCTTGTTCCACCTATGGCATATATCATTTATGTATAATTTTAATAGTTTCACTGACACCATTGTATTGTGGTCCAATATTTCTGTTTTCACGTATATATATATTTGTTCATTATTTTGATTTATGCACTATATATTTAGTTTCCTAATGTGTGTTAGATTAGCTATTTTGGTTGGACACTATTTTTTCTTTTCACTAGAGGGGAGTCAACACACTTTTTATTATATATAGTGGTCACTTTGATTTATAATTACACTATATGGAGATACATTGATTGTATTCATGTGATACAAGCGCTTCACTAATTTTTAATTTTATTGTGCTCAGGAATTATTGAGTGAAATGGGTGGTTTTCTCCACTCAGCGGACAGGAGTGGAGGAGCAGGAGCATCTGGTAGAGGAGGAGGAGGAGGAGACAGAGGACCCAGACGCACCGTGGCAGTATGCTGTGGAGATGGAGGCAGGGAGTCCCTCGCATTCCTGGCACAAATGGCCCATAGCATGCTCGGTTGTAGCTTGCCGTAGCGACAGCCGAATAATTAACCATCAGACAGAGGGATGACTTTTGGCTGTCCACCTTGTTGGACCCTCGCTACCGTTCAAAAATGGTGGCCTTTTTCACACCTGCTGTCGAGGGAGGCCAAAATAATCGTACTATAAAAACCACCTATGTAGTCAGTTGGTCTCTGCCTTTGTGCGCCAACGTCCATCCTCAGACACTGTGGTGCCCTGTGCGCTCGCGTTCCGCTGCCATGGCAGCAGGGGAGGGGTGGGTGGTAGGAGCAGTGGCAGCTCCACCAGCCATTTTTGCGCGGCTGCCTCAGTCTGCAGTTCGATGATGAGTAGCTTCTTCACCAGCGCAGTGAGGAAACTACTAAAACCATGTCAGTCGCTAGCAGCAGCTTGCATCAGGTGGACCTGGAGCAAGGACCTCAAACAACAGGCTTTGGGCCTACTTGGACAGCACCCTGCCAACCGAGGTAGACAAATCCCTTGACTACTGGGCAACGAAACTTGACCTTTGGCCCCAACTAGCTGAATTTGCCCTTGAAAGGCTGTCATGCCCCGGCCAGTAGCGTGGCATCTGAGCGCGTGTTTTAGTGCGGCAGGAGGTATTGTAAACTCCGCGGAGGGACACGACTGTCAACCCAAAGTGTGGAGAGACTAACATTTGTGAAAATGAATCAGGCGTGGATTAGTCTGGATTTCAAACCACCAGTTCCTGACACAACTGACTAAATCCGCCATGAATCCAATGCCCCAAAACATGTGCCACTTTCAGGTCTCCTCACACTGCTGGTGTGTTCCATTTTTTGTCATAGGGTGCTGGCAGATTACGGGCCTCCCATTGCTGCTGCCAGGCCCGTAATCTGCCGTGGGCCCCTGTACCGCCATCCAGCATCTTGCTGCTGCCAGGTCCAGAGTCTCTCATGGGTCCCTGTACGGCCTCCCATTGCTGCTGTCTCCATCGCCACACTCTGCCTATGTGCCACTTTCAGGTCTCCTCACACTGCTGGTGTGTTCCATTTTTTTTGTCATAGGGTGTTGCTGGCAGATTACGGGCCTCCCATAGCTGCTGCCAGGCCCCTAATCAGCCAGTGGGCCCATAAGTACGCCTCTCATGCTGCTGCCAGGTCCAGAGTCTCTCATGGGTCCCCCTGTTACGGCTGCTCCCATTGCTGCTTGTATCGCGCCTATCGCCACACTTGGCTTGTGGCCACTTTTAAGGTCTCCTCCATTCACTGCTGGTGTGTTCATTTTTTGTAATCTGGGTGCTGGGCCCCTGTACCGGCCTACTCATAGCTGCCTGCCAGGTCCCTAGTCTGCTCATTGGTCCCCCTGTACGGACTCTCTCATTGCTGCTGTCTCCATCGTCCACACTGTGTTTCTTGCCAGTGCCACTTTCAGGTCTCCTCACACACTGATGGTTGGTTCCATTTTTTGCCAGTAGTGGCTGCTGGCAGATTACGGGCCTCCCATAGCTGTTTGCCAGGCCCCTTAATCTGCAGATGGCCCCTGTTACCACCATCCTCATGCTGCTGCCAGGTCCAGAGTCTCTCATGGGTCCCTGTACGGCCTACCTCATTGCTGCTGTCTCCATCGCCACCTCTCTGCCATGTGCCTCTTTCAGGTCTCCTCACTCTGCTGGTGTGTTCCATTTTTTTGTCATAGGAGTGCTGGGCAGATTACGGCCTCCCATTGCTTGCCTGCCAGGCCCCGTAATCTGCCGAGTGGCCCCTGTACCACCTCCTCATGCTGCTGCCAGGTTCCAGAGTTCTCTCAGGGGACCCTGTACGGCCTCCCCATTGCTGCTGTCTCCATCGCCACACTCTGCCATGTGCCACTTTCAGGTCTCCTCAAAAAACACCCAACCCACACTGCTGGTGTGTTCCATTTTTTGTCAAAGGGTGCTGGCAGATAACGGTCCTTCTCATTCTGCTGCCAGGCCCGTAATCTGCCGTGGGCCCCTGTAACGCACTCCTCATGCTGCAGCCAGGTCCAGATTGTGTCCTCTCATGGGTCACTGTCACGGTTCCTCCCATTGCTGCTGTCTTCCATTTTTTGCCCTAGTGTTCTTTGCAGATTCGTGTCCACTTTCAGGTCTCCTCACACACTGATGGTGTGTTCCATTTTTTGTCATAGGGTGCGGCAGATACGTGGCCCTCCCATAGCTGCTGCCAGGACCCCTAATCTTGCCATGGGGCCCCTGTACCGCCTCATCATGCTGCTGCCAGGTCCACAGTGTGTCATGTCATGTGTCACTGTTCAGGTCCTCCTCACACTGCTGGTGTGTACCATTTTTTGTCCATAGGGTGCCTTGTGCAGATTTACGGTCGCCTCACACCACTGATGCTGCTGTTCCATGGCCCGTATAGGGTCTGGCCGGATTACGGGCCTCCCATTGTACTGCCGGCCCGTAATCTACCGTGGGCCCCTGTACCACCTCCTCATGCTGCTGTGGTCCAGAGTCTCTCATGGGTCCCCCATGTACGGCTCCCCATTGCTGGCTGTCTCCATCGCCAGCACCTCTGCCATGTGAAACTTTCAGGTCTCCTCACACACTGCTTGGGTGTGTTCCATTTTTGTGTCATAGGGGTGCTGGCAGATTACGGGGCCCCCATTGTTGCTGGCCCAGGCTGGTAATCTGCCATGGGCCCCTGTACTCGCCTCCTCATGCGCTGCCAGGTCCCAGAGTCTCTCATGGGTCCCAGTACCGGCCTCCCATTACTGCGGTCTCAATCGCCACAACACTGCCAAGTGCAAACTTTCAGGTCTCTCACACACTGCTGGTGTGTTCCAATTTTTGTCATAGGGTGCTGGCCGATTACGCCTCCCATTGTTGCTGCCAGGCCTGTAATCTGCCATGGGCCCCTGTACCCCCCTCCTCATGCTGCTGCCAGGTCCAGAGGCTCTCATGGGCCCCTGTCGGCCCCCCTTTGGGCTGCCTGTTCT